ATTAGGGGAACGAAGAATGACATAAACATAAAAACTCGGAGGTCCTCGAGGATTTCTCGGATCGGCGCTTGGCCCCCCTGGCGACGCCTCTGGCGCCGCCCCCGGCGCGCTCTGCGCGCCAGGGAGGGGGGAGGGGGGTCTAGCGCCAATCCGAGAAATCCGCGCGGACCTCCGAGTTCTTATGTTTATGTAATTTGTTGTTCCCCTAACAATGGTGCAAATCCAGGAGTGAGGAGGTCAGCCGGAAACAGGAACAGTGTGGCAGGATAACGAAAAAAATGACGGGGTCGAGGGGGCCAGGCTGGGTATGGGCGGAAAGTGGAGGGGATCGTGGGCGGAGAGTTCGATCGATTCCGCATGCCTCCAGGGCCGGTGGGTGCAAAATTGATAGTCGTGTTACGTGATCAGTTGACGACTGATTTGCAATCTTTCCGCGAGTCGCGGACACCCGAACCGTAGTTGTTGAATTTCGGTGCGCATGTCGGTGTCAGTTCATCCGCAAGGAATGCCCTCTGGCCTGCAGATCGCGCCGCGCCACCAGGACGCCACGGCACGACAGCACCGCAGCACAGCGGCAACGCGACACCGACATGTGAGGGCACCACGATGCCGCGAGACCGAGACGCCTTGGCGCCACAGCACCGCGACGCCACCACCCCACGGCACCATGACACGGTGGCGTTGCGACGCCACGACGCCGCAGCACCGCGGCACCGCGACCCCACGGCGCCGCGGACGAATGTGGACGACGATCAGTGGAGCGGAGGCATGTCGTCAAATGGTTTCCAGATGTCAAACAATGTTTTAAACATGTCTTAATCATGCAAGAAGTCATGTCTTAAACATTGTTAGAACATGTTTCCGACAGTTTGCATGTATTTTTAATTCAATGATAGGGTTGTTAGGATCTCCACTGTTATGGCATCCGCAGCGCGACGAGGTGGCGGCACGACACCAAGACGATCCGATTCCGCGACGCTGTGATTCAGAGAAGGGAGAGTTGAGACAACGGTCGTTGGCCTTTTTGTCGCCACGGCTGGGCGCAGCTCGGGAAAGTGGTGCGTTTGGACCTCTGGAGGGGTTTGGGGACCGATTACGAGCTGCCGTTGTCTTCGCTTCCCTGTCACCGATTGATACTGGGGGGCCACTCGTGAGGGTATCCTTCGCTACCCTCGGGGCCTCCTTGGCACCGCTCGGGGCCATCTTGGTCCACCCCTGGGAGCCTCGGGGACCATCTTGGGGCCAGCTTGGAGGAGATCGATCACGAGGGACAAGCTGTGACCAACATCTTAGTACGAACCATGATGTTGGCCTTCTCGCCGAGGCCATCTTGGACGCTCTGGCGACCCGCGGCCCGGCCCGTCCATGTCCTTCCTATATTTTTACAAGCCCGGGCGGGCGGGATCCCCCCCCCCAAACCGGAATCCCTGGATCTGGGGCTTTGGGACCCTCCGGACGGGCCTCGAAGCGGCCCCCCGGGCCTCGCAGTGCGTTTTGCCAAGCCTTCCCAGCACACCTAGGGCGATCAGGGAGGTCATCGGAGACGTCTCAGAGACCCCCAGGACAGCACAAGAGCGCTCCAAGAGTGACCGACGTGGCCTCAATATGGCCCAAGAGGCCTCCAGGATGGCCCCAAAGAGGCCTCCAAGAGCACTCCCAAGAAGGCCCCAAGAGGCAAAACCCATTGACTTTCTGTTGGTTTTTGGTGAATTTGGGGGTGCTCCCCTTTTCGGCTTCCCTTGGCTCCAAGACGGCGGTCTTCTGGGCGTCCGAAGCCGCCTGGGAGGCTCCAAAGTCGCCCCACAGCCATCCGAAAGGGCTTCCGGGCACTGCAAGAGAGCCCCAAAACGGCACAACACGGGTCCAAGATGGCCCTCAGAGAGCCCCATGGCGGCCGAAGATGGCCCCAAGACACCCTCCGAAGCATTCCAAATCGTCAACCGGTCGTTCAGGGAGACCGCGGTTCGAGGCAGGGTGGCCCGAGGAAGCCCCCAGAGGCCCCAAGAATACGCCCAAGAGGCCTCCAGAAGGCCTTAAGAAAGCCTGAAACAACTTTTATGAGGCCCCCAGAGGCTCTCCCAGGAGGAGCCTCCGCAAAAAGGAGCTGAGGAGATGGGGAGAATGCGCAGTGTATGGCGAAAATGAGGAAAAATACGCATGGAGGACAGATAACGAATTACATTATTATAGCGGCGATGCCGGAAAAGGCAACAAGGAGTTATCGCTAATTTGTCGGCTTGACCTTCCTGCTATTCCGCACCAAGGTGCATATACATATATATATATATATATATATATATATATATAGGGGTAAACCAGTTGGGGGAGGGAGCGCTCGACACCGAAGGGGAAACAAGGGGCTGGAAGAGGAAGCGCTCTAAACCACTCACGCGGGCTGGTGGGACTCCAGGGTGCGCCGAGGTCCCAAGAAGGCCTCCGAGGGCCCCCAGAGGCCCCAAGACGCTCCCCAGGGAAGCCCCGAGACGTCCCCGGGCGGCCCCAGTGGTCTCCGAAAAGGCCCCGAGGTGCTCTATATGCAGACGCCGCCGCGAGGCCCCCGAGGTGCCCTCCGTGTGCCCCCCGTGGCCATCCGTGGCTCCAGCGCGCTCCGCGGACTGCTGGGCGGCCGGGCGCCGGGCGCTCCGCCTCCCCGCGCGGCCTCCCCAGACCTCCGACGCCCCGACGAAGCCTGGAGCAGCCGGTCTTTGGCCGTGTTCGGCCCCCGGCGGGACCTCGCCGGGCCTCGGGGCCGTCGGAGAAACGACTCGGGGTGAAACGCCGGCCTTTGGGGAAGTGGTCCAGACCCCCAGGGCCCACGCATCGGAGGGGCGGCCGGATGTCTGGGTCTCCGCCCTCGTCTTCGTCTTCTTCTCGCCCGCCCTCTCGCTTCCGCCTCCCCCCCCCCCCGCCGCTTCCGTTCTGCGACCACTCGCGAACCCCATCCCTGCGGGTCCTGTGGCCGCTGGGGTATCCGATGGTATCAGATGCCCCCGCTGGGGTTCACCCGGGCGCAGACATCCCTCGGGTGCTGAAGCCCAGTCGATCTCCCAGAAGTCTGACCTGCATCAGGAGGGAAATTAAGAAACACACAGACACACTTCATCGTCGACTCCCCAGAAAATATGGGAAAATGTGGGAAGTCGGGGGGAAGACAAAACCCCACAGAATATGAGAAAATATGGGGAATAGTTCTAGTAATGTGTCTTTATTTGTGTGTCCTGGGGCCCCTTCCCTGTAGGACTGCATGCGAGAAGGCTCCGTCTGTGGCCGCCCCCCCGCCCGGCGGCCGGGCCCCGGCCTCGCCATGGCGCAGGTGCGGCGCGAGGAGCCCATCTCCCCGCTGTCCCTGGCGGGAGCCTGGCGCTCCGCCGCGGCCAGCCTGGAGGTCTACAAGGGCAGGCCGCCCCCGACCTGCGCCTTCCTCTCGGGGGCGGAAAAGAGGGGGCGGATGACTAGGGGCGGGGGCCATGACATTTCCCCAGAGTTCATGGCGCCTCCTCTTATATTTCATTGCGTCCCTGGCCCCCCCGCTGGGCCGCGCACATGCCGCCGGTCATGATTTGCACCCCCCCCCCTCTTGGACACCCCCCTGGAGGAGGAGGAGGAGGAGGAGGAGGAGGAGGAGGAGGAGGAGGAGGAGGAGGAGGAGGAGAGGAGGAGGAGGAGGAGGAGGAGGAGGAGGAGGAGGAGGAGGAGGAGGACTCTTTGCCGCCCCCGGTCCTCCTGTGCCTGGCCACCTGGGCCGCGGCCGGCTACCGCCTCGTGCTGCACCCCGCCGCGGGCGACCCCGCGGCCTTCGGCGCCTGCCTCACGGCCGACGCGCTCTTCGCGCCGCGCCCGGCGGAGCTGCGGAGGTACCTGCTGCACGCGCTGTGGCCGCTGGAGGCGGGCTACGCCCGGGGCTTCCTGGCCTCGGCGGCCCTGCTCGTCCAGGGCTTCGCGCTGGAGAGCCAGGCTTCCGTCGGGCCCGCCCCCTCTACGGGGGGAAGACTCACACGTCGTCGAACGAGTAGTTTGGGGGGCGATTTGTGTGGGCTGCTTTCAGAACGTATCATGTTGCATTGCCGTCGGGGCCCTGACGAAGGAACCCTTTTGGTTGGGGAGGGGCTCCGCGTTCCTCGAGTGTTTCGCAGCTTGCCTCAGGTTTCCCTTAGGTCTTCGATCGGAAGTCGAAGGTTAACCCATGGGAACTATAGGGGCCCCGTTCCTTATTTAGAGTTCCTGAGGTCAACGCCCCGACTGCATGTGTGGACGATGTCCTATCTTTTCCGTCGAGCATCCGCCTCTCGGGGGACGTGCCCGAGCGAAAGCCAGGAGGACCAGGCTTCCGTCGGGCCTGCTCCTTCTGCAGGGGGAAGGTTCACACATAGTCGAACAAGTAGTTGGGGGGCGATCTGTTAGGACTAGTTTCTTACAATATCATGTTGCAGTAATTATGTGTGGACGATGTCCTATCTTTCCGTCGAGCATCCGCCCCTCGGGGGACGTGCCCGAGCTGAGGCCCTTGGCATCGCTCGGACGTGTGCATGTCTTTCTCGGCGAGGACCATCGAGGAGCATCCTTGATCATGTGGCGAAAAAGCCACGCACGAAACCGAAAAAAACACAGGAAATGGACGTCCGAGCGATGGCGAGAAGCCAGGAGGGCACCGCGGCGTTCGCCCTGCAGCTGGCCGGCCTCCACACCGCCGCGGCCGCGCTGCTGCTGGGCCTGGGCGCCTCCGCCTGCCAGGTGTCCCTGGAGCCGGCCCTGGCCGGCCTCGCCGTGGTCATCCACGCCGCGAACCCGAAGGTGCACACGGACGGGCTGGAGATCGGCCGCGCGCAGGGTCAGGGGAGGAAAAGGTCTCGGACGCCCGGCATGGGTACGGAAAGAAGGGGTACTCCAGACTCTGTAATAAAAGGGAGGGGGTCACAACCCTCCCAGACGAGAAGTTTTAGACCCCCAGACTATCCATGAAAGGGCGGCCCTTTGCCCAGACCCCCCCGAACCCTCCAAGACAGCTCAAATTGGACCCCCCCCCCGAATGTGACCCCCCCCACTTTGTTATGGAATCCGGAGTACAATGCCCAACAGCAGTTCTTGCTCATTCTGAACAGGAGTCGCTGTCGGTGTCGCCGCGGCCTGTGTACGTTGAAGACAGAGGGCCGCCTGTCCAACAGCGGCCGCTGTCGGTTTGGGACAAGATTTGCTGTTGGGCATTGTACCCATTCTTTCCGTACCGATTTCGGGCGTCCAAAACCTCTGCTTTCCCCTCGCTCTCCTTTTTTTAGGCCTCCTGGGCGGCAACCGAGCCACCTGCAGCGCAACTGATTGTTTACATGTTTTTTGTATATGTTTTGCATGTGCCCGCACGTTGCCATCTGTCACAGTTTTCCTTGCCAATGCGCCGTCTGGGCGCGGCTGTTGTTGTTGTTGTTGTTGTTGTTGTTGTTGTTGAACTCTCATTCTTGAAGAATAATTATTGTTGATCCCCCCCCACCGGTGCACATTGATTTTTTTCGATTGAAGTGCCACCCCCGGGGCTCGCACCTTGTTTTTTCTCAAGGAAAGTCTTCCTGCTCAAACTGTGCCCCTGCCCCCCGGGCTACAACAACAACGGCTCCCGCCTGAGACTTCCTCGATTTTTACTCAGGACCCCCGCTCCCGCCTGAGACTTCCGCGCAATTTACTCAGGAAAGGCGCTCCCGTCTGAGACTTCCTCGCAATGTAATCAAGACCCCCGCTCCCGCCTGAGACTTCCGTGCAATTTACGTGGGAACGGCGCTCCCGCTGAGACTTCTTCGAATTTTACTCAGGACCCCCGCTCCTGCTTGACATTTCCGCGCAATTGACTCAGGAACGGCGCTCCCGCCTGAGACTTCCTCGCAATTTAGTGAGGACCCCCGCTCCCGCCTGAGACTTCCGTGCAATTTGCTCAGGAACGGCGCTCCCGCTTGAGACTTCCTCGCAACTTAGTCAGGGCCCCCGCTTCCGCTTGAGATTTCCTCACAATGTACTCAGGACTGCGCTCTCGCGTGCGACGTCCTCACAAATTATTCTGGAATTGCGTTTCGGCGCTCAGGAACCACGCACGCGCCAAGGACGCCTTCACAACGTGGTATCTTCCCTCTTCCTTCGTCCTTCCCCCTCCCCTTCCTCCCACTCTCCCTCGTTCTTCCCCTCCTCCTCTTGCAGGGCCCGCGCCAATTCCAATGGCGGGCAGAGAGATGTACGCCCCCGAAGGATTGTCCGCCCGTTCCGGTTTGCCCGTACGTCTAAGCCCGCCGGCCCCAGCAAAGAGAAATAATCCCCCCGAAAGGGGTGTGATCGAAGACGAAGAGGGCGGGTATCGAGGGTGCAGGGTATACGTGTTGAATGACTCGCGGGCAAGTAAGAGCGTACAGCCTTAAAATGGTTGTTGTTGTTGTTGTTGTTGTTGTTGTTGTTGTTGTTGTTGTTGTTGAACCTTAATTACTAAACAATTATTATTGTTGGACCCCCTATATTCGCCCTGGCGCTCTCGCCGAGGCGCCGGCCGCATTTCCTCTGAAATTGAGGCTCACGCTCAGGCGTTTTGGGGTTCCGCCAAAACCGGCCCCCCAACAACAACAACGCTCCGGCTCGAGACTTCCTCCTTTTTTACTCGGGCTCGGTGCTCTTGCTCGCCGCCGAGAGCGGCTCCCGGGCCGGACGCCCGGGTCGGCGCCCGAGCCGGCGCCCGGGCGCCGGAAAATCGAGTTCCGAGGCGGCGCCGAAAAAAGGCCATTCCAATACACATTTTTCTTTCGAAAATGCTGAATTTCTGCTTCCGGCGCCCGGGAGGGAGGCCGTCCGGGCCGATTCCGGAGCTCGGGCCGGCACCCGGCCCGGCTCCCGGGCCGGACGCCCGGGTCGGCGCCCGAGCTGGCGCCCGGGCGCCAAAAAATCGAGTTCCGAGGCGGCGCCGAAAAAAGGCCATTCCAATACACATTTTTCTTTCGAAAATGCTGAGTTTCTGCTTCTGGCGCCCGGGAGGCCGTCCGGGCCGATTCCGGAGCTCGGGCCGGCACCCGGCCCGGCCCGGCTCCCGGCCTGGCTCCCGGGCCGGACGCCCAGGCAGTTCCGATCGCGCCGAAAAGAGGCCATTCCAATACACATTTTTCTTTCGAAAATGCTGAATTTCTGCTTGCGGCGCCCGGGAAGCCGTCCTGGGCCGATTCTGGAGCGGCTTTGGGCCGGACGCCCGAGCTGGCGCCCGTACGTGGTGCTTCTCTGCTTCTGGCGCCTGCGGAGCTTCCCGAGCCGCTTCTGGAACCATATCTGGGCCGGTCCAGCGATAGGTTTCCTGGATGTGCTGAACCATCCAACTTTTTGAGACTTCTGCGTCTCAAGGATAGGGAGAGAAGACATTAAAGGAGGATCAAAAAGCAACGTCGCTATGAACGTTTGGCTGCCACAAGCCACTTCTACTTACTTGGACTACTACTACCGTTGCCACTACTTCTAGTGCTACAGCCGCAACAACAATATCATCAACTGCTGCTACTACAACTACTCATCCTTCCTCCCCCTCCTCCCCCTCCCTTCTCCTCCTCCCCCTCCCTATCTCTCTCATCTCCCCCTCCTCTTCCTCTTCCTCTCCCTCTGAGATGCGGGGCATGCGCAAGGCGATTGCGAAGGCGATGTGCCGTCCGAGCTATGGATGTTGAAGTTCCTCGGAAGAGGTGGTGGCCAAACCTTCTTGGGCGGGATATCTGGGTGAGGGAATATCGGATCCCGCATGCCAGAAAAATCCCCCATGATGGGGTGTGTTATCCAGATGGATGCATGTGTCATGTGGAAGCATGGCGCATGAGGGTAAATTGATTGTTGTTGTTGTTGTTGTTGTTGTTGTTGTTGTTGTTGTTGTTGTTGTTGTTGTTGTTGTTGTTATTGTTCTTCTTAGTGTTGTTGTTGTTGTTGAACATTATTCCTTCTAAAGAATTATTATTGTTGGGACCCCTGGTGCGCGACCTCTGCGCCGCGCCTAGGCCGCAGCTACATTTCCATCATTTTTTCGCGAAAGCTTCAGAAAAGTGGATGAGCTCCGGATCCGGTTTTTTGTTGACGCTCGTTTTCCCTTGCAAAAAACATTAGAAAATGAAAATTCTTGTTCTTACTTGATCAAATTGCAAGAATCCCTTGCAAAAAATAAGGTAAAGTGGACATTCGCGCGCGCAAGACGAAATCCTTCCAAAACCTTAGGTTTCCCAGCGATTTTAACATAAAAACATCAAAAACCCAAGAAAAAATTGTCAAAATGTCCTTCCGCGCGCGCTGTCCGAATCCCACAAAACCAATGGTTTTTCAACATTTACGTTACATGAGCTCGCGCGAGCTACTTTTTCTTGTTCTAACATAATCAAATTTCAATAATCCCTTGCAAAAAATAAGGTAAAGTGGACATTCGCGCGCGCAAGACGAAATCCTTCCAGAACCTTAGGTTTCGTAGCGATTTCAACATAAAAACATCAAAAACCCAATGGTTTTTCAAAAAAAAATGTCCAAATTTCATCCCGCGCGCGCTGTCCGACTCCCACAAAATCAATGGTTTTTCAACATTTGTGTTACATGAGCTCGCGCGAGCTACTTTTTCTTGTTCTAACATAATCAAATTTCAATAATCCCTTGCAAAAAAAATGTAAAGTGGACATTCGCGCGCGCAAGACCAACAAAAAACACGACGATCTCAGGAACTTGCCCCAAAAATGTGACCAACTCCGCTCTCTCTGTCTCTCTCTCTGTCTGCTCTCTGTCTCTCTCTCTGTCTGTCTGTGTCATGTATTGTATGTCACAATTGCAGGATGCTGGGCACACGCGCGCCCCGAATAAGTGACCAAGTTCTGTGGGTGTGTACCCGCTGTCCGAATCCCACAAAACCAATGGTTTTTCAACATTTACGTTACATGAGCTCGCGCGAGCTACTTTTTCTTGTTCTACCATAATCAAATTTCCATAATCCCTTGCAAAAAATAAGGTAAAGTGGACATTCGCGCGCGCAAGACGAAATCCTTCCAGAACCTTAGGTTTCGTAGCGATTTCAACATAAAAACATCAAAAACCCAATGGTTTTTCAAAAAAAAAATGTCCAAATTTCATCCCGCGCGCGCTGTCCGACTCCCACAAAACCAATGGTTTTTCAACATTTATGTTACATGAGCTCGCGCGAGCTATTTTTTCTTGTTCTAACATAATCAAATTTCAATAATCCCTTGCAAAAAAAATGTAAAGTGGACATTCGCGCGCGCAAGACCAACAAAAAACACGACGATCTCAGGAACTTGCCCCAAAAATGTGACCAACTCCGCTCTCTCTGTCTCTCTCTCTGTCTGCTCTCTGTCTCTCTCTCTGTCTGTCTGTGTCATGTATTGTATGTCACAATTGCAGGATGCTGGGCACACGCGCGCCCCGAATAAGTGACCAAGTTCTGTGGGTGTGTACCCCACGCCAGTGTAGTAGCCACGGTCGTCCGCACGCCACGAAGTGAAGTGTCCCAACGTCATAGGGCGGGAAGCTGGGTTTGGGTGGTCGCGAAGAGTCGTTTGGATATTTGGTAGAGCTTGTAATGCCCCCCCACGAAGTGGGGGTATTGCCTGGTGTCGTATGAAAACCCTGGCACTGGGGAGAAACACTGAGCGTTCGGGTAAAATGATTGTTGTTGTTGTTGTTGTTGTTGTTGTTGTTGTTGTTGTTGTTGTTGTTGAACATATATTACTTCTAAAGAATAATTATTGTTGGGACCCCTGGTGCACGACCCCCCCGCCGCGCCTAGGCCGCAGCCTCATTTTCATCATTTTCGTGAGGAAGTCTCAGGCAAAACGGGGGAGTCCGGATCCGGTTGTGTTGTACGATCGGTTTTCCCTTGCAAAAAATAAGCTAAAGTGGACATTTCTTGTTCTAACATAACCAAACTTCAAGAATCCCTTGCAAAAAATAAGGTAAAGTGGACATTCGCGCGCGCAAGACGAAATCCTTCCAAAACCTTAGTGTTCGCAGCGATTTTAACATAAAAACATCAAAAAACCAATGGTTTTTCAACAAAAAAAATGTCAAAATCTCATCCCGCGCGCTCTTGCGGATTCGTAGGAAACCCAACACTTTTTAAACATTTCTGTCAAACGGGCTTTTGCGAGCAACTTTTTCGAACTTCTGCAACAACGGTTGCGCACCTGCCAGGGCCATCATCCCTGTCAAATAATACCATGCGGGACACATTCGTTTTTTCTTCGCGCGCGCACGCCGTCGTCGTCGGCCGCGGGGCCCTGAATAGTAGCCACGGTCGTCCGCATGCCACGAAGTGAAGTGTCCGAACGTCATAGGGCGGGAAGCTGGGTGTGGGTGGTGGCGAAGAGTCGTTTGGAAATTTGGTAGAGCTTGAACCGGCCCCCCCACAAAGTGGGGGTATTGCCCGCCTCCTATGAAAACCCTGGCACTGGTGAGAACGGAGTGTCCCCACGTGCTAGTAATTGTTGTTGTTGTTGTTGTTGTTGTTGTTGTTGTTGTTGTTGTTGTTGTTGTTGTTGTTGTTGTTGGGCGGCCCTCGCGTCGCCACCGCTGGATCCGCCTCGAGATCCTGGTCCGAGCGCAGCCTGGGAGAGGTCCGGGGAAGCAGCGGCATGGGTACCTTATTGGTTTCCCCACAGAGGGGGGGGGGCAGGGGGGAGGGCGGGGTGGCCTCGTCGAAGGAGGCCGCTCCTCAGCAGGCGAAGGCCCTGTCCCTGATAGATGCGCAAGGCCACGGCGCCTGCCACAAGAAGCAGCCCTCTGATCATCGAGAGAGCGCTGCTCGCAAACGTCCGTGCGCCAGCACGTCTTCCTGTGTGTAATGGATTGTAGATCCTCCGCGGCGGATCCGGGCCACCTGCGTGCGAGCTGCGAGCAGTTACTTTTGCCTCGCGAGCAGTGGAACGCGCTCGTGGGTCCGAGACGCCTTCCGCCCCCCCCCCCCCCCCCCGGCTTCCCCCCGGTGCGCGCCGCCGAGGAGAGGTCCCTGCGGGTGCCCTTCGCGATCGAGCCCCGCTGGCACACGTGGCTCCTCGGGGCGCTGCTGCTCCTCGCGGCCGGGAACTTCCCGCGGGCCCTGGCGGCCCACGCGGTGGGCCTGGCCCTGGGCGGGCTCTGCGTGCTGCGGGAGGAGCCCCTCGCGGGGCCGTGGCGGCAGGCCTGGCAGGCCGTCCGCCAGAGGTCCTTCGGCTGCGGCGCGCTCGTGCACCTGGGGCTGCTGCTGTTCGCGCTCCTCGCCGCGCCCTTCGCGGCCGAGGAGGGCCTGGGCGGCACCGCGCCGCTCCTGCACCTGGCCGTCTCGGGCCAGGCTCGAGGAGACGAGAGAGAGGCACAGCCATGCACTCCTCGGGGCTCCGCGCGGCGCCCTCGGGTCTGCGCCTCCCCCCCCCCCCTCCCTGGCGCCTCACGGCGCCGTCCCCGGCGCGCTCCGCGCGCCAGGGAGTCGGGAGCCTCGAGACGGGGGTCAATGCAAACGGGGGTCAGCCAGGGCGCCGGATCCTGCAGGATCCTGCGAAGACCCCCTCTGGCTGACCCGGGTTAGCGAGCCGCTCGTGGCCGCGAGGCGGCCGCGCCTATTGGCCGACCGGGGTCTGCGAAGACCTGCGGTGCAGTTTTTTTTTCCTGCATTGCAGTTTTTGGTTTCCTGCCGACCCGGGTCTGGATTGACCCGGGTCAGAAGATCCCCGAGGGAGGGGGGTGCAGAGCCGATCCACGAACCCCGCGCGAGGCTCCGAGCGTGTCCGCGTGAGCCGTTTTTGCTGCTCCTCTACAGGTGCCGCCCCAGGCTCTGCTGACCTGCAAGGTCATGCTCTCCTGCGCAGTGCCCCTGGCCCTGTCGCCCCTGAGGATCTGGGTCCGGCTCTACGCCGTGGGCTGCGCCCTGCTCGCCATGAGTGGCATGAACTCGCCAGCCTGGAGGGGCGGGAATCCGCACCTGGGCCTGGCGCTGCTCGTCTACCTCACGTGCGGGTTCTGGTGCCTGTACGGCCTGCCCGACCGCCAGCCCGACAAGGACCGCCCCGCCTGAGCGTCGGCCGCTCCGCTGGCGCGGGCGCGCGCGCCGCGCGCGCGCGCGCTGGGCGGTGGCGGACGCTGTTCGCGCCGCGCTGGCGGGGCCCAGCGACGAGCCCGGGCTCCTGCGGCACTCCACCGTCGCGAGGTTTGCACTCGCGAGAGCCCCGACCATCACTGGCGGCGACGTCCCATGGTGCCAGGCCCCTATAGCAGCCGAAAAGCTAGGTGGCCGGAAAGCGTCGGGTACCGATGGGCGTGCCCGAAATCGTGGTCGAAGGCGCAGTGCTACTGGACTTGCGACCGAAGTTGGTTTGGTTTCGAACCAAGAACTTCGGCCACACTCTGGCGCGGTCGGAACAAGTCGGGCGCTGGTTCCGGTCGCATGCAGGCAGATGTTCGGGCACAGTTGCAGAGACGAGGCTGCGCGAGACGTATTCATGTCCACCCCCTCGGCGGTCTGGACTCTGGGGCGCGATCCCGTGGATACGCGGCCCGCACGGATGCGTTCCGCGCGGGGCATCCGCGAAAAACACGTCGAGGAGAATCTTGGATCCTCGTGCGAGAGAATAAGCGCGCGGAGCCGAACAGCGCACGGGGAGTGGACATCCAGGCGTTGGCGAGTTTGAAGTCGGGCATGTCCCTCCACAGGAGGGAGACTCGAAACAAGGAGTCAACACATAGTCTGGGGACGACTTTTCGATGCTGTGTGGCCTATGTTTGCATACTTTTTGGACTATGTTTTATTTGTCGTCGAACATCTGCTTGCAGGAGGACATGCCCGACCTAATCCTGTTTGGGGTCGGCTGCAGCGCTGGCTCGTCGGGTGCGGCGCGGCAGGCCCAGCGGTGTTGGCTCGTCCGCGAGCATAGGGACGGCGGGAGGCGGGGGTGCTGCTGCGGCTATGTAGGGGGGCAGGTCCGCCGTGGCGGTCGCGGCGCGGGGGTGCCGCCGGGCTTCGGTCGCGCTGGGCGGAGGGGGCGCTGTGGTCGTTTTCTTCTTCACCGTTTTGCCGCTCGGCGCGGGCCCTCGCACCCACCCCCTCGCCCCCCCCTCCATGGAGCGGATCTTGGCTGTTTCTTGGCGCCTGTTTCGAGCAGGTGGAGCATCACCCGTAGGACGCACTGCTGCAAACAGACGCACTGAGCAGAGGTCCGGAGCCAGACCCCTCCCCCCCCCGCCCTTCCGCCCAATGTCGAAACGCCGAAGAAGATTATCCCGGCAAAGCAACCTAACAGCGATGTGTAGGAGCATATCTGGAAGCATTCCCCTTAAGATTCAGATGAGAATCCAGTTGTAGAATTGTGCTGTTCTCGCAGTCGTAGTCGCATTCGCGATGACAGTCGCAGTGGCAACGGCAGTCACAGACACAGCCTCAGCCTCAGCCTCAGCCTCAGAGCCTCACTCAGCCTCAGCCTCAGCCTCAGCCTCAGCCTGCCTCAGCCTCAGCCTCCTGCCTCAGCCTCAGCCTCAGCCTGCTTCAGCCTCAGCCTCAGTCTGCCTTCAGCCTCGCCTCAGCCTCAGCCTCAGCCTGCCTCAGCCTCAGCCTGCCTCAGGCCTGCCTCAGCCTCAGCCTCAGCCTGCCTCAGCATTCAAAATGTGGCCCGGGAATGGAGTTCTGGGAACTCGAAGAACACGAAGTGGCCTACAGTTGGCTCCGGGCATTCAAAATCATGCCCAGGAATGGAGTTCTGGGAACTCGAAGAGCACGAAGTGGCCTACAGTTGGCTCCGGGCATCCAAAATGTGGCCCGGGAATGGAGTTCTGGGAACTCGAAGAGCACGAAGTGGCCTACAGTTGGCTCCGGGCATCCAAAATGTGGCCCGGGAATGGAGTTCTGGGAAGTCGAAGAGCACGAAGTGGCCTACAGTTGGCTCCGGGCATCCAAAATGTGGCCCGGGAATGGAGTTCTGGGAAGTCGAAGAGCACGAAGTGGCCTACAGTTGGCTCCGGGCATTCAGAATGTGGCCCGGGAATGGAGTTCTGGGAGGTCGAAGAGCACGAAGTGTGTGACTGTTGGCTTAAAACGACTTCTGCGGCACCCTGTCCGGCACCCGCCCAGACCCCCCTGTGGAGTCATCTGCTGCTCTCTTTTGACCCTACTAGAAACCTATCAGAACAAGCTGTTAGGTAAAAACGTCGACATTACAGTCGGACCTGGGTCGGTTCGGGGAGGCTGCCCTGATGTTCTTCAGTGCTCGTTGGGCGTCCTTGTGCGTCCTGAGGGAGGGGGTGCCCTCGAATGTGCTGTGTGTTCTGGCCGGCGGAGGGTCCAGGATGTCTTTCTGTCCCGGGCCCGGCCGCATTCCTCCGCGTCGGTACCTGGCGCGCGCGCAGGCGGGGTGCCGTTGGCTGGACGGTCCTGGGCGGGGGCAGCGCAGCGGGCGTGCCGCGGGCCGGGCCGAGGGGCCGGAGCGGGTCGGCTGGCGGGGTGCGGTGCTGGGTGGGTGCGCGTCGCGGCCACGCGCCGCGCCCAGCGTGCCGATTGGGTGCGGCCGAGCTGCCAGCACACCCGGATGGCCAGCCCCGGCACGGAGGGCGAGGGCGCGTTCGGCCGGAGGGCGTCCCCAGGGCGGAGCGAGTCTCCGTCGGCCTTCACCGAGCATCCTCTGCGGGTGGAGGCCAGAGGGTGAGATCTGAAGTGCTGCTGCCATGGATCTCCGAGGCCTGGATCTGCAAGAGGTGAAGCACAAGACGGACTGGTTTTCGAGGCGCCGTAGCCCGTGTGGATTTCGCCCTGAGCCCTCCACCCTGAGAGAATGCTCACTTTCGGAGCTGCGGAGCTGTTCCGGCAGTGCGGGGCGGGGGCTGGGCGGCCCCGGCAGCCTGAGGGGTCACACCCAGGTGGTCCCGCACCTGCCTGGCCAGCCAGCACGCGCGTCTCCCGGGTGCCCCCGGGAGTTGTTGCTGGTGCGCAAGCGGCGTTGCCAGGTGCGGCTGGCAGGTCCGCTTTGGCCTGAGAGCGCCCCCGGGAGCTGTTTTCCGTCCAGGAGAAGTGCACCCACACAGGCGGACCACGACTCACGATACGTCGTGTTCACATGCGAAGTGAGATCGCGTCTCACTTGCGATGACAGCGGAACGCGTACATCTGCACGTACAGCAAACCTGCATGGGCACACAAACATGCATACGCGCATACCTGTACATAAGTGTATGCAGCCATACACACATGCATGCATGCATACATACACACATACATGCATGCATGCATACATACAGATCTACATACACACAACTATACATACATACATGCATGCATTCATACATCCATACCTGCATACCTGCCCACCTACCTACATACACACATGCGTACAACCATACATACATACATACATACATACATACATACATACATACATACATACCTACGTATACACATGTGTGTGCATGCATGTATATATATATATACACATGCACGTATGCATGTAGATCCGATTATATGTGTGTATGTATGTACATACGTATGTATGCCTGTCTGTCTGCACGCATGTATGTAGGTATATATGTATGTATGTTTGCACGTATGTCGGTTTGTCTGACTGTATGTATGCATGTATGTATCCATGCATGCATGCATGTATGCATGCATGTATCCATGGCTGAATGATTGAATGTATTGATGTACGCATGCATGTCTGTATGCATGTGCGTCTGTATGCATGCATGCATGCATGCATGTATACATGTTCGTATGTGTATGCATGCACGCATGTATGCATGCGTGCATGAATGTTTATGCATGTATGTGTGTATGTACATGTATATGTATGTATGTATGCCTGTATGCACGCATGCATGTTTGTGTGCGTATGTATGTCTGTATGTATGTATGCATGTATGTGCGTATGTATGTGTATGTGCGTGCGTTCATGCACGTGGGTAGACAGGTAGGCATGCATGCATGTATGTGTGTATGAATGTATGCATGTGTGCATGTAGGCACGTATGTATGCATGCATGCATGTATGTTTGCGTGTATGTAAGTATGCATGTACACATATGCCTGCATGCGTGTTTGTACGTATGCATGTATGTACGTATGTATGTGTGCATGTATGTACGTATGTATGTATGAGTTTATGTATGCATGTCTGCATGCATGTATGTATGCATGTATGCGTATGTCTGTATACATGTAGGTGATGGTGTTCACATGCATACACATAATATAACGTAACATTACACACATATATATATACATATATATATATATACTTGTCCTATATATATACACATGCTCATACACCTTTACATCTATATGTGTGTAATGGCCTTTGGCCCATCGCGCCACCGTGCCTGGGTTTGGGTATGAGGCCTCTTGGATGTTCGTTGGGATCTCGTGGGAGGCCTCTCGGGGGCCTCTTGGAGACAGTTGTTTGGACGCCTCTTTGAGTCTTCTTGGGGGGCATCTTGGGGGCCTCTTTCGCCAAACAGGCGAGAGCGCCCAAATGTTCCAAACACCGAAGGACAATCAGATGTTGGCCTCTTGGTGCCCTCTTGGGAGGCCTCTTGGATGCTTCTTTGCGGCGTTTTGAAGGCCTCGTGGGCCGTCTGGGGGCCATCTTGAGCGTCTTGGAGCGGTCGTTCGGCGACTCGGAGCCCTCTTGGACCGTCTTGGGGGCTTCCTGGGGCCCTCGTGGCCCGTCTTGGGGCCCCCGTGCGCCCGGAAAAGTCGTGCGAGAACACTTCCCCGCGCCCAGGGGGGACGCGGCAAGCCCCCGGGGGGTACGCGGCAGGCCCGGGGAGTTCTGTGAATTTGGGGCCCGGGCCCCCAAGAGAGACCCCTCGGGAGTGAGGCTTGAGGCCCCGAAGCTTCGGGGAAGGACCGGCGGACAGGCCCACTCCGTGCCCAGAGGCACGTGGGCAGATTCACACATACCTATATATATGTATACATATGTATATATACATATATATACCCACATATATATATATGTATACATTTATGTGTATAATATATATATATATATATATATATGTATGCATCGTGCGCCTGCCTGCTTGCGCGCACTTGTGCAGACCTACCTCTATCATGCCGCACCTCTGCTCCGCGCGGCCATGCGCGCCTCGGCCGCCCACTCGTCCGCCCTGCGTGATCTCATGTGCGGATCTCACGTACGCCGCAGAAGCAGTGCTTAGATACTACCGTGCGGGCAAGAGAAGTGCGCACGACGCCCCCCGTGGGATGAGAACGTGTAGGCACCCTCGATGCTATTCGCGATACGCGACTGTCATACGGTTGCAGTGTTGTCGGCATCCCTGTGGTTTCCGTGCACCGCCTCGCCGCTTTGGACGAGTAGGACAAGCTTAGCTCAGATTCCCCGTTATTATGTGCTCCTCCTCCTCTTCCGTGTTCCGTCCTCCGTTCTCTTCACCTCCTGCGCTCTTCGGGGAACCTTCTGGGGCGAGGACCCAAGAGCCTACCGAAGGTTCGTGCCGTGTCGACCTGGCTGCGACCCCAGCGCGGCCGTTCAAGGGCGAA